CTCTTTCGTGTAATATTCTAGAAAAATTGGACCTAGCCACGTGATTGATAGGAGCTATCCAAGTCCCTTATTTGGCCTCCAAAGTATTTCAAATAAAAAAATAAAAAGAAAGTTGGGGCTTCCCTGGTGGCAGTGGTTAAGAATCCGCCTGCCAATGAAGAGAACACGGGTTCGAGCCCTGGGCGGGGAAGATCCCACATGCCGTGGAGCAACTAAGCCCGTGTGCCACAACTACTGAGCCTGAGCTCTTGAGCCCGCGAGCCACAAATACTGAAGCCTGCGCTCTTAGAGCCCGTGCCCTGCAACAAGAGAAGCCAGGACAATGAGAAGCCTGCGCACTGCAGCGAAGAGTAGCCCAGGCTCACCGCAACTAGCGAAAGCCCGCACACAGCAAGGAAGACCCAACACAGCCCAAAAATAGGTAAAAGCAGGAAAGCAAAAACAGTGTTACTGAGGGATATTTTAAAAGGTGAATGAACAAGAGCTTGTTGAATACCTTGTGTGTCCCAGGAACTGTGCCACATGTGCTGAACACAACAGACATCAAAAGTTATATTCTAAAGTGTTTATTCATGGCAAACCTTTAGGTTTATTAGGTAGGCACCAACAAGTACTTAAATTTCTGTTATAGACAGCAAATTTTTTTTTTTTACTTGCCGTTCTTTTGTTTGAGGGATGGACGCAGCACTAAGGTTGTAAGAAAGCACTTCTGTCTTTTTAAAGTTTTTGTGTCATAATCGGTTTTCTTAAATATCCAGTTCCCTTATCTAAAAAATAATAAAAATCCTACATAGCAGAACTTTCCACTTATTTGGCCCAGTTCTGTTTACCATTGTGGGTTGTAAAACTGGGATAATAGAGAAGAATAATATACTCAAGAGGGAAAACACCAACAAAACCAATTGCATGTAATTTGGATTTATTTTGATGCTGTGGAATATCATATGACCATTCTTTTAGGCCCTGCTGAGAAACACACGGAGAGGAAAATAATTTCATTAAGTTGGAGAGACAAAGAGATGGGTATGGAAGGGAAAATAGTTGCTTCTGAAGAGATGTGATCTAGAGATATGTAAAAAATTAAAACGTTTACAGACACTCGTAGTAAGAAATTTTTTAAAAAAGGACACTGAGACATGCCATATGATTCCATTTATATGACATTCTAGAAAGGTAGAGAACAGATCAGTGACTATCAGGGGCTGGAGGTGGGGAGAGGGACTGACTACAAAGGGGCCACACAAGGAGATTTTTTGTGAGGATACAGCCTTTCTCTCCTTAATTATTGGGGTGGTTACACACTGTTTACATTTGTCAAAACTCAGAAGACTACACTAAAAAAGAGTGAATTTTACTGCATGTAAATTTAACAAATAAAAAATTAAGGTAAGTTTTTTAAGTACACAAAAATCTCACCTATCATTTTGGCAAAAATTCAATACATGATGTCATTGAGTCTGTGGAGAAACAGGCACCCTCATACATTGCTGGTGGGAATGAAAAATGGAGGATAACTTAATATCTAATGCATTTATCCTTTGATTCAGCAATCCCACTTCTAGGAATCTACTCCAACAATAAGAAAATATATGCTCACAAATTTGTTCATTTCAGCACTATTTGTAATTGAAATATTCTCAAAACCACCTAAATGTTCAAATATAGGAGAATGATTGAATATACTATGGTACATAAATACCATGGAGTATTTCACAGCTGTAAAGAAAAGGAATGAGGAAGAGCTCTGTAAATGATATGGATTTTCAAGATCTATTGTTAAAGTGAAAAAACCAAGTGCAAAAGTACATACATATTATGCTACATTTGTGTAAAATAGAAGAGGAAATAAGAAAATATATATGTTTGCCCATTTTGCAAAAGGAAACACAGAAAGCTTAAATCAGAAACTAATGAAATTGGTTACCTACAGAAGGTGGAGAAAATGGAGTAGAAAAGTTATGAGGGAATGACACTTCTCTAAGTACACCAGTTTGTATAGTTTTGACTTTTGAAATAATGTTAATATTTTAAAAATAAAATATAAAAGCAAATCATATGGTTTTGCAAGATGAAAAAAGTTCTGGAGATGGATGGTGGTGATAGTTGTACAACAATGTGAATGTACTTAATACCACTGAACTATACACTTTAAAATGGTTAAAATGCTAAATTTTATGTTATGTATATTTTACCACAATTTAAAAAATAAGTTAAACATTTAAAAATCACATCAGTAAGAATGGGTTAAAAAACTGAAATTGAATACAAACAGAAAAAAGGGAGCACAGCTCTATTTCAAATGAAAAAAAACCACACTAAAAAAAAAATAACTAATCTGAAAAATTTATGAACACAGTACCTTGATTACATACCATTAGTCTAAAGAAAAAAACACAACTACAAGCAAATCTTAAACTCTACTAGGTAGATTTCTTTTTCATAGTGATATGAGCAAAGCAATTCTGAAAATATATTGTGTATAATGTAATATGTAAAAACACTGATGTTGAGAGCCAGGATTCTCACTGTGTAAGAAGGGAGATACAAATATGAAATGAGGGAAAGTAAAAGAGAACTTTTGGGGGTTGGACTGGAATTGGAAGTATTTGTATAAATTTATCATTCATGATATATATTCCTAGCTCTATTCACAGGAAGGACTAGAAGCAATAACACTCCAATATCAATGAGCAAACCTAGTGCCAAATCTAGGTTGCTAAATGCCATCCCTGAAATAAATTGGGGCTCCTTAGGGAAATGGTTGATTCCAGTGCTGGGGCAGGGAAAGTACAAGATGAGCCTTGTGTCAGAAAATAAAGATGTGCTCAAAAAAAATGATGGCGACGTCAAAAAAAGACATATAAGCCAGCTTGAAGGGAATCCTACTGACAACATCTGAGACTATTGAGCATTAAAATAAATCATGATAGCAATGGATTATAACCTATGGAATCCATGGATCCACACTGATAGTGAACAAATAAATAGGGGAGAAGATCAAACTCCTCTTTATAGTAGAACACTCAGTATTAAATATGGAAGGAATGATAGAGTTAGAAAATCACCATTTTGCAACTTTCATACTAATAATTCTTTTAGGCAAAAATCATCAATGGATACAAAAACTAGTGGGTGGAAGTTTGATAAAGAACAGGATATATACATAGTCTGAATGTATTCCTCACGTTACTTATTAATGACAAAGGGAAAAACAGTAACTTTAAACTATAGGAACTTGGAGGTCACCCTTTTGATCAAATGATTAAAGTTGGCATTATCAATAATGGGACAAGCTAATATTATAGGCTTCCTGATAAGATGCCCTAAGAAGACATATCTGTCATGTAGTATTCCTGTCAGAAGTGCATTAACTGAATCTAATTAGGAGAAAATGTCAAGCACACAAAATTTGAGGGAACTTTTACAAAATAACTGGCCTGTACTCTTCAAATATATTACGGAGCACAGACCTGTGGAGTCAGAAGGTCCGTTACCAGTTGTCACTTACAATTGCCTAATCTTGATTCTGCACCTCACTTCCTTCATATGTAAGCTTGAGAGTATAAAGTTTACCTTAGTAAGAAAAAAATTAGTGCCGTGAAAGACAAAGAAAGGCCGAGGAACTGTTTGATTTTCTAGGAGACTAAAGACATAACTTACATGTAATGAGGTGGCTGGACCTAGAGTCTGTCATACAGAGTGAAGTAAGTCTGAAAGAGAAAAACAAATACCTTATGCTAACACATATATATGGAATCTAAAAAAACAAAAAGGTTCTGAAGAACCTAGGGGCAGGACAGGAATAAAGACGCAGACGTAGAGAATGCACTTGAGGACACGGGGAGGAGAAAGGGTAAGCTGGGTCGAAGTGAGAGAGTGGCATGGACATATATACACTACCAAATGTAAAACCGATAGCTAGAGGGAAGCAGCTGCATAGCACAGGGAGATCAGCTCGGTGGTTTGTGAGCACCTAGAGGGGTGGGATAGAGAGGGTGGGAGGGAGACGCAAGAGGGAGGAGACATGAGGATGTGTGTATATGTATAGCTGATTCACTTTGTTGTAAAGCAGAAGCTAACACACCATTGTGGAGCAATTATACTCCAATAAAGATGTTTAAAAAAAAGACATAATTAAATTCAATACACGGAACTGGATTGAATTCTGGATAGAGATATTGGGGTAATTGGTGAAATTGGAATATGAGCTGTACTGTCTCAATATTAAAATTTCTGAATTTAATAACTGTACTGTGGTTATGTAAGAGAATAGTTTACTCTTAGGAAATGAACCCTGAAGTATTAACAGGTAAAAACACATGACGTATGCAAGTTATTCTCAAATGGTTCAGAAAAAAAGAGATGCATTTATATATACATCTTTTATGTACATGTATTTAATCACACACACAAAGAAAACATGTGGCAAAATATTACCAAGTGGTGTACCTTGGTAATGGGTGTACAGGAAGTCTCCCTCCCCCAATATTTTATTATGAAAATATCCAAATATACAAAGTGAAAGAATTGTACTCTGAACACACACCGCCAAGATTCTACAATCAACAATTTGTTAAATTTGCTTTATCACATATTTATCTACATATTAATAATTCTTTTTACTGTTCTTGCAAGTTTCCTCATAACTTGAAATCATTTCAAAATTAAAAGTTAAACGAATTAGTAGGTAGTAATAGGAAAAAAATTAAAGAAATGAAGGAAGTTTGGAGGGAACAGAAAGTACTGCTAGTGTGGAGCGAGATACAAGCTCAGTCCTCTGAAACACTATCTTGAAGCTGGTGCCTTTGATGTCTCAGTCTGAGATCAATGTCTCAGCTCTCCTCTATAGATCCCTAAACCTGGCTTCGAGGCCAGGGATTCTCTCATTGTTACGTAAATATCTTGGTATGTCATTTACAAAGTGTAAAACTTCGTTTCCCACAAGGCGTTTATCCTTCCGTGCTGTAAAGAGGACAAATTCTATAGGTTTTTTACAGGTCTCGCGAGATTCATCAAATCTCTTTAACGAGCTCAGCAGGAAGCCATTTTGTTTCTCAGGGCGCTTTGCAAGGGTACTAGAGGTGAAATTGCAAGAAGTCAGCAGCTGCAGTTGCCGCCGTTCTGTCTTCAGCTTCACGATGTTTCCCTTGGCCAAAAACGCACTAAGTCGTCTCGGAGGTGAGCAAAAATTGTGAGCACATCTTTTCCAACTGCCTTTATCCGTTGTCTTCGTGGTCTTTCGTGCCCCTTCCTTCCATGTGCATCTCGACTTTATTTTTCTAAATGCTCTGTCTCCTACTTCACCCCAAGTAATTGGGAAAATGTCCTTAGCATTAGCCTAATCGCTCAGCGTTTCTGTTTGGGTTCCCAGCTGTCTTTTGTTACTGTAGTCATAACCCAGCTCTGCTTTTTTTTTTTTTTTTTTTTTTTTTTTCCGGTAGCCTACGATTTCAAGGGAGACACCTGGTGAACACTTCTTGTTCCTTAAGTAATTCCGTAAACTTTAGCTTTGGGGACACGTTTACCCGCAAATGGAAGAGCCTCTTCTCCAATTCTTGGTTTCATTGCAGGGAGACAACCTAAATGGTAGCACTGCAGCTTTTATGTTATTTGTGGATTATTAACTAAATAATTGTGGTCATTTTTTTCTTACCTAAAAGTTAGGCAGGTACAGGGAAATTTTGAGACCAGCATTATGTACTGAGAATGCACTAGATTGGAGAGATAAAAGTCATTTCCATACTTGATTTGCACTGAAGGTGACCTTGAGTAACGTGAGCAGTTTTACAATGAAAGTGACCTTAAACAACTACCATTTAGCTTCTTTAGCCATCTTTTTATTTTCTGTTTATGGAGTCATTAGAAGTATTACTAGATTGTGTTCTAAACGCTCAAGCACCTTTGACAATAACCAAAAAATAGTTGTCTGACCGGTTTTTCATATTCCAAAAGCCACATCTATTATCTCTTTCACTTTGGGCAAATGATTTAACCTCTCTCAACTTCATTTTCCTCCTTTGTAAAATAGAGGCTTAGTAAATAATACCTACCTCATAGAGTTGTTGAGGATTATATGAGATTACCAATAGGTGGTAACTGAACCATTTCTTGTCACAGAGAAGAGGTCCAAAGAAATCCACTTGGGTGACCTGAGTGTTGAGGTCATGAGGTGTTCCAGAATTGCTTGCTTGGTAATCTTATTTTCTTTGCTTTTTGAGCAGGTAGGGCCTTGTACCTCAGGAAAGGGGTTTGGGGGTTGTTATTTTCAATGTGGAATTCACATGCTCACTTTTTAACTGCTCTAGAGCAGATTATATTGGGAAATGTTTGTAAATTTGCTCATCCCAAGTGTGACTAAAGGTGAAAAAAAACTAAGGCACTTAAGCGAAGAAACCATTAAATGGTCAAATAACTATCCTGAAATAACCCATTGTATCACATTATATCAAGTAACCCATTGTATCACATAACCCATTATATTCATAAGTGCTAGTGAATGGGCAACATTGCTGTTTCTTTAATACGTTTTTCATTACATACCTTTTGAGGCTCTAAAACAATAAGGACCTGCTACTTAGATTGGAGAGGAAGAAAAAAGCAGCTGGAAAGATGCATTTTCCAGTCTTGGCTCTTTCCCAAGCCCCCCAAGTACCTCCAGAGGCAGTTTGAAACTCTTTCTACTAAAATAGCAGTAATAGCAAAGCTTTCATGTTGTCATTCTGCTCAACAGCTTTTACCTCTACCAAAAAAGTGGCCCTCCATGAACCTTTCTAGTTTTACCTCCTGTTACTAATTTATTTACCTTGTCCTTCAAACGTAATTTGTTTTCTAGGACACTGGGTTTTCTGTCTCTGCTTTTTTCAGATTTGCCTTCCCCATGCCTATATAACCAAATCCTACCTGCTATTCAAAGTGCTTAGCTAACATTCTGCTTCCTTGTATTATAGTGGTTTGTGTCTTTGTATCTAATAGCCTGGCTACATAACCAAATCCTACCTGCTATTCAAAGTGCTTAGGTAACATTGTACTTCCTCTTATTATAATGGTTTGTGTCTTTGTATCTAATAGCCTCCCCTAGAGTGGAAGTTACCCAAGAACAGGGTCTGTGTCTTACACATTTCCATATACCCCATTTCTTTTAGCATGGTGCTATATTCATTAGTCACTTTTTTAAAAAGTCAAGATTACTCTAGTTTTTGGAGGTTTTGGGGTAATTTTAAGGTCATAAACATTTAGCGTGCTTTAATGATTTTGAGTTTATTTACCCCTTTATGTTGTAAGTTGTTGAGCACTGCTGAGTAAACTTTAGTGAAATTCAAAGTCATAAATACTCAAATTAATGAAGTAGGAGCTAAGTTCAGAGGTTATACAAATACCAATTTGTCATGGATGTTACTGACATCACTTTTTCTTGGTTTTTCCCCTCAACATTTTATTGTGGAAAGTTCCAGACATATCGAAAAGTTGGAAGAATTGTATAATGAATACCCACATACCCACCACATAGATTCTACAACTAACATTTTGCTGTATTTGTTATATCACATATTTATCCATCTGTCAATCTTATTTGTGAAGCATTTCAAAGTATGCTACTTTGCTTTTAGCTTCAATATGTTTTAACATTTTATTATACTGCGTAATACTGTAGAATTAACTTCCTTGGCTTTTGTGAGTGGCAATATCAATTACACATGTTCTCTTTTCCTGATAATTGATAGATATGCTCCCGTATTCTCTTTTCTTTCCCCCTTTAAGTTCGAAGCATTCCGCAAACAATGGCAAGGCAGAGCCACCAGAAGCGGGCACCTGATTTCCATGACAAATATGGTAATGCTGTATTAGCAAGTGGAGCCACTTTCTGTGTTGCTGTATGGGCATATGTAAGTACTGTTGATTGATAACCTGTTTTAGATGTTTTTTATTCCCATTTATCTCATGTATTCAAAATGTTTTCACACAGTATACATTTCTAGTTAGGAGGGGCTTTAGAGATTTTCTAACGTAATTACCCACCTAGTGCAGGAATTTCTTCCTCAACATTGAGCATTCATCCGTCATCTGTTCTTAACATTTCCAATGACAAGTTGCTTAGTGGATCAAAAGGCAGTCTTTTCCATATTGTGTAGCTGGTTGAAAAGATCTTATGTTGAGTTAAAATCTGCCTCCTTCATATTTTACCCATCATTTCATTGCAATACAGAAATTCTGATCACATTTCCATGTATCAGCTGTTAGATATTAGAAGATTCCTATCATGTCTCCTGGATCTTCTCTTTCATATTAAACATTCTTAGTTCTGTTGATCATTTTTTTGTTATATGATTTCCAGGGTTTTCACCATCTTGGTCACCTTTCTTTGCTTAATCAACCTTTCTTCTATAGAAGAACTGAGTACAGCATTTCTGATGGATGACATATAAAGTGACTTGCTTTTAATATTTTAGTTTTTTACATCTTCATTTACCAATCTACTTACCAGTCACTGTACTTGCTGGTTAAAAATAGGAGTCTTGAAGTTATAATAAATATATAAACTGATTTTAAAAGATATGAAACAACCCTTGCCTTAATAATCAAAGACTTTATTAATAGGCCTTTTTCATTCTTATTTTGATCTTCCTGAAATCGGATATATTATTAAAATAAGTGTGTGTACTTAATTGGAAGAGTAAACAGATGTTGAACAAATGTGTGATCGGGGGCACTTTTGGAAGTGAAGTGCTACTTGAAGAAGGGATATTATAAAAGTTCTCTTTGGCAGTATTTAGGTAGTCGTGGTTGAGTGCAACAATGTTGTTGAGGATGTAGTATAGAAATGTGATATACAAATTTGAATTAATTAAATGAAATTTAAAATGTAGTTGCTGAGTCACACTAGCTACATCTTAGTTGCTCAATAGCTGTATGTAGCTAGTGGCTAACTGTATTAGACAGTGCAGATATAGAACATTTCCTTCATCTCTGGAAGTTCTACTGAACAGCACTGCTCTAGAGAATTAGGACAGCAATTAGGTTTGGCCTACCTGGAGGGCACTGTATCCCAGGTGACTTTCTGTGTGTTTTTAACTTATAGTGCAGAATACCTTTGCCACTTTAGGAAATACTCTCCAAGGGAGAGTGGGCTCTGGTTTAAACATATAACTGACAGCATTTTAATTCTTACAGACAGCAACACAAATTGGAATAGAATGGAACCTGTCCCCTGTTGGCAGAGTCACCCCAAAGGAATGGAGAGAACAGTGATCATCCCAGCTCATTTAATACTGAATTGTTTCAAAATCAACTCATAATTGATGCCAAGTAAAAGCATTATGTACCCATTAAAATATGGCGTGATTGAAGAAATAAAGTACATTTGAAAACCTCATTGTAGGTTTGTTTGTTTCTTTTGTAAATGAAACCAAGCTTGATCATTTTTATTTATTTAACCTTTGTGTTAATATTAAAGTCAAAACACTGTACAACTTCTTGAATAGCTTTTCTCTATTAGGTAGTGTGAAAGGAAAGTTTGGCTGTCACCTAGGAGTCAACTTTATAATAGGCTGAAATTACAGTTAATGAATAACTGATAACAGAGTTATTTTAGGGCATCTATGAGTTTAAAATTTAGTGTCCATATCTTGGTTATACCTACTACTTTCAGCCTCTCATATATGTTTGTATTTAGAATTGGCGTTAAGTCCTTTGTACTCCTGCCAAGAGAACTTAGGGTGTCACCAGACCCATAGGAAGAGTGGTCCTATCAAATGAACTCCTAGGATGTCTGAAGACTAGCTAGCTCCTTGGCTCCCTTGGTACATTTATCTTAGAGCTCTATTTTTTTTTTTTTTTTGCCGTACACGAGCCTCTCACTGTTGTGGCCTCTCCCGCTGCGGAGCACAGGCTCTGGACGCGCAGGCTCAGCAGCCATGGCTCACGGGCCTAGCCACTCTGCGGCATGTGGGATCTTCCCGGACCGGGGCACGAACCCGTGTCCCCTGCATCGGCAGGCGGACTCTCAACCACTGCGCCACCAGGGAAGCCCGAGCTCTATATTTTTCAGCATATTTATTTGAGATGTTTATGAGGTTATTAAAGAAAGGATCTGTTTTACTTATCTAACTACTAGTGACCTCTGCTGTTGGCTTTCTGTAACTATACCAGTTTTTGGATTGGTGGATTATCCTGAATTCACTATGACATTGGATTTTATGTGTAAGATATTAACTGAAGAAAACACAGTATCTACACCATGTGTTTCTTTATTTCCTCAGCCAAAGGCTCTGAAGTAAGCCTCAAGTAGTGGCTTTTTAATAGTGCTCAAGCAGAAAATGAAATTTCAGTTGAGTAACCTATCTATATTGGCTAAATTTGAGATTTCTAAAATTCACTTACCTGATACTGTAGGTTATCAGGTAAGTGGCTTTTAGGACTCTCCAAATTTTCCTGATGTAGATAAGGATTTATACTTAACCAAACATTTGAAGAAAGTTTACTCAATAGGTGAAATACTAGAATTGCTCTTATGGCAATATGTCCTGTTTTCTCATTAATGTACCAAAGCCAGTAATTTCATGACTTTTTAAAGTAGGAATAAGGATTTGAATGTCATTGCAGCACAGAAGGTTGCAAGATTAGTAACTACATAGTAGTGACACCATTTGGTAAAATTTGAACACTTTATATCATATTTAGAATGTTAAAAGAGGACTAAAGTATTCAAATGCACGTAACCCTCCAACATGATTAAGCAAAATAAACATGTCTTTAAGAAAGTTTCAACCTTCTGTTTTTGTTCCTGAGTTGGCACTGAGAATTTCTAATGACTGGAGGTAATTTTCAGTATGATTTATACCACTTCTGTCAGATAAGTAGTAATTGTCAGCTATTCTGATAGGCAAAAATAAATAGTATGGGGGCTTCCCTGGTGGTGCAGTGGTTGCGAGTCTGCCTGCCGATGCAGGGGACACGGGTTCATGCCCCAGTCCAGGAAGATCCCACATGCCGCAGAGCGGCTAGGCCCGTGAGCCATGGCTGCTGAGCCTGCGCGTCCAGAGCCTGTGCTCTGCAGTGGAAGAGGCCACAACAGTGAGAGGCCCGCGTACCGCAAAAAAAAAAAAAAAAAAAAATAGTATGACTTTTTTTAAAAATAAATTTATTTTTTGGCTGTTTTGGGGTCTTTGTTGCTGCACGTGGGCTTTCTCTTGTTGCGGCGAGCGGGAGCTACACTTCGTTGCAGTGCTCGTTGCTGTGCGCGGGCTTCTCATTGCGGTCACTACATTCTTGTTGCTGAGCACGGGCTCTAGGCGTGAGGGCTTCAGTACTTGTGGCACATGGGCTCAATAGTTGTGGCTTGCAGGCTCTAGAGCACAGGCTCAGTAGCTGTGGCGCACAGGCTTAGTTGCTCCGCGTCATGTGGGATCTTCCCACACCAGGGCTCAAACCTGTGTCCCCTGCATTGGCAGGCAGATTCGTAACCACTGCTCCACCAGGGAAGTCCTAGTATGACATTTTAAAATGTCTATTTGTCAGCATACGTGTTGCCTTGTGTGATAAAATCGTGGTGGTAGTCAGCATCTTTGAAAATACTTACAAAACTTAGTTTTATGATTAATCTTGTCCTGATGAGTAGTTATAAAACTACCACGGCCACTACCAGAAATGAAGCTGTGGTTTAAGTCGAAGTTATTTTGTGTCATCACAATATTCTGACCTTGCAGCTTGCTTAGTGTACTCAAAGTTTTCATCCTGTGTGAAGGTTGTCAAATTAGTCTCCCTGTAAAAATCTGTATGTTTGAAGAATTTAGATAAGTGACTTAATTTAGAAGCATTGCCAATCCTTCAAATGTTATTTATTGGGGGAGTTATGAAGTATTTTTTAAAAAGGGTGAATGTTGTAACTGCCATTCTTAATTTGACTCAAGCTATTTTAGTGCATGTGTTCTGTTCTTTTAAATTCATTAAACTTACTTAGAACTAGGTATCGTGGTAGTTGTAGAGGCACAGATGTTGTGTTCTCACCCTCCTGACTATCAACTTTATTGGTGATATTAATAAGCATTTTATAAGCATTTGGGGGGTACCTACTATCTGCTCAATGCCAGGAAACCTGATATACTTCTTGAAGACATTCCCTTCTATTTGAAAGCTCAGTTTAATATAGTAGTAATTTAAAAAGTGTTGGTATGCTCATGCATTGATATGGGAGATTAGGGATGATTCATTTAGAGATACGAAGTGGTTTATTTTTATTTATTTATTTATTTATTTTTTGCAGTACGCGGGCCTTTCACTGTTGTGGCCTCTCCCGTTGCGGAGCACAGGCTTCGGACGCGCAGGCTCAGCGGCCATGGCTCACGGGCCCAGCCGCTCCGCGGCATGTGGGATCCTCCCGGACCGGGGCACGAACCCGTGTCCCCTGCATCGGCAGGTGGACTCTCAACCATTGCGCCACCAGGGAAGCCCGGTTTATTTTTTTTTAATTATCCAGGTTCTATTTTTTTCTAAATAAATATTTATTTATTTATTTGGTTGCACCAGGTCTTAGTTGTCTTAGTTGTGGCAGGCGGGCTCCTTAGTTGTGGCTCACAGGCTCCTTAGTTGAGGATTGCCAACTCCTTAGTTACGGCTTGCTTGCTCCTTAGTTGTGGCCGGTGGGCTCCTTAGTTGCAGCACACAGGCTCCTTAATTGTGGCATGCGAACTCTTAGTTGCAGCATGCATGTGGGATCTAGTTCCCTGACCAGGGACTGAACCCAGGCCCCCTGCATTGGAAGCTCAGTCTTATCCACTCCACCACCAGGGAGGTCCCTGAAGTGTTTTCTTTTCTTTTTTTTTTTTTTACATCTTTATTGGAGTATAATTGCTTTACATTGTTGTGTTAGTTTCTGCTGTACAGCAAAGTGAATCAGTTATATGTATACATATATCCCCATATCCCTTCCCTCTTGCATCTCCCTCCCACCCTCCCTATCCCACCAAGCTGATCTCCTGTGTGATGTGGCTGCTTCCCACTAGCTATCTATTTTACATTTGGTAGTGTATATATATCAATGCCACTCTCTCACCCTGAAGTGTTTTAAAGTCAGGGAAAGGCCCAGTGATTAAGAATGTAGAGGATGTTGCCACTCATAATGATAAACTTTACCTAAAAACTAGAGAGCCTAGTAGATTTGATATTCTTCTGATAAAGCTTTATTTCTGGTTTCTGCCTTTCAGTGAATTTATTTGAAAGTTTAACACAGTGTTAATGTTGAAGTTAGAAAACAACTTGCTAATAATTGGAAGCCCACTTAAAACCCATCTTAATTTCATGTGATGTGAGTTAAGATTTTTAAATTTGGGGCTGAATTTATATCTTAATAGTTAAGGCTATGCACATTGATTGACAACTACAATTGAATGTCCAGGAAGGTAAGGAGTCCTGAAGTGAATTTTTATGTGGATGGGTGTAAAGCGGCAAAGAATAATTCTTTCTGAAATACTTAATTGTAGGCCTAAAATTTAAATCTATGGGCAGTGTTGCCTGTCAAGGCTTATTAGGGATTTCAAACAGGTAGTATGAAAATTATTAAACATATAAATATGCATACTGTGTGCCACTTTTCCAAGTCTTTTACAGTTTTACAATAATATTTGCACTTTGCTGACTGAGTTCTGCAACGTTATTTGACTTGATACTCTATGGTAACTGGGTCGAAATGGTTCCAGTTGAAAATATAAATAATCCTATGATTATTTTCCCCCTACATCTTACGACAGATATTTAATGAAAGGAAGTGTGAAAAGACCACATCTTACTTCAAAATTAGTGAGATGGAGCCCCTCCCTCTTACTGTTAATGTTTACAGTTTTAAAAATTCTAGGATTTTGCTGCTTTTTAAAATGACAAATTGAAAAAGGAATAAAAAATACACTTTTTTCTGAAATGCTTTCTGTACTGCTTATTTATTGCATTGTATTGCTACATTTTAGGCATCTCAATTCTGTCTAAACTCAGGATGATAGATACTTTAATATTCTTTGCATCCTTGGAATCCTGTAAGTTTTTAAGATCATGGACAAATGAATAAATAAATGGGGAAGTGTTTGAGAGCTTTAAATGGCGATGTGAAGGTAGTGTGAGGTGAGATCCCTGCCCCAACTCAAATACACTCATACATAAAGATTATGAATTTAAAAACATGAATTAAAAAAAATTTGAGATCATTATTTTGGGGGGATAGCTTTCCATTTATTTGTATCTTCAATTTCTTTCATCAATGTCTTGTAGTTTTCAGTGTACAAGGTCTTTCACCTCCTTAGTTAAGTTTATTCCTAAGTGTTTTATTTTTTAAAAATTTATTTTTATATTTTATTTTTTCATACAGCAGGTTCTTATTAATTATCTATTTTATCCATATTAGTGTATATATGTCAATCCCAATCTCCCAATTCATCCCACCACCGCCCCCCCCCCCACCACTTTCCCCCCTTGGTGTCCATACGTTTGTTCTCTACATCTGTGTCTCTATTTCTGCCCTGCAAACCAGTTCATCTGTACAATTTTTCTAGGTCTAAGTGCTTTATTTTTTTATGCTATTGATTTTGTATCCTGCAACTGTACTGAATTAGGGTGCCAAAAATACACAATGGGGAATGGATAGTCTCTTTAACAAATGATGTTGGAAAACTAGGTAGCCACATACAAAAGAATGAAATTGGGCCTTTATCTTACAGCACACACAAAAATCAACTCAAAATAGATTAAAGACTTAAATATAAGACTTGAAACTATAAAACTCCTAGAAGAAAACATAGGGGAAAAACTTCATGACATTGGTCTTGACAATGATTTCATGGATATGACACCAAAAGCATAGGTAACAAAAGCAAAAATAAACAAGTGGGACTACATCAAACTAAAAGGTTTCCACACACCAAAGGAAACAACAGAGTGAAAAGGCAATCTAAGGAATAGGAGAAAATATTTGCAAACTATATATCTGATAAGGGGTTATGCTCCCAAAAATATAAAGAATTCCCACAACTCCACAGTAAAAGTAATAACTCAATTTAAAAATGGGCTAAGGGGGCTTCCCTGGTGGCGCAGTGGTTAGGAATCCGCCTGCCAATGTAGGGGACACGGGTTCGAGCCCTTGTCCGGGGAGATCCCACATGCAGCGGAGCAACTAAGCCCATGTGCCACAACTATTGAGCCCGCATGCCTAGAGCCTGTGCTCCGCAACAAGAGAAGCCATCGCAATGAGAAGCCTGCGCACCTCAACAAAGAGTAGCCCCCGCCTGCCACATCTAGGGAAAGCCTGCGCACAGCAACAAAGACCCAATGCAGCCAAAAATAAATAAATTTTAAAAAATGGGCTAAGGACTTGATTAGACATTTCTTAAAGATACACAAATGGCAAACATATATATATATATATGGAATTTAAGAAAAAAATGTCATGAAGAACCTAGGGGTAAGACAGGAATAAAGACACAGACCTACTAGAGAATGGACTTGAGGATATGGGGAGGGGGAAGGGTAAGCTGTGACAAAGTGAGAGAGAGGCATGGACATATATACACTACCAAACGTAAGGTAGATAGCTAGTGGGAAGCAGCCGCATAGCACAGGGAGATCAGCTTGGTGCTTTGTGACTGCCTGGAGGGGTGGGATAGGGAGGGTGGGAGGGAGGGAGATGCAAAAGGGAAGAGATATGGGAACATATGTATATGTATAGCTGATTCACTTTGTTATAAAGCAGAAACTAACACACCATTGGAAAGCAATTATACTCTAATAAAGATGTAAAAAAAAAGATAATCAGCCTCACTAATCATCAGGTAAATGCAAATCAAAACCACAATATCACCTCAAACATGTTAGAATGGTTATGAACAACAACAACAACAAAAAAGCAAGTGTTGGCAAAGATGTGGAGAAATTGGTACTCTTGTACACTGTTGGTGCAGCTGCTAAGGAAAACAGTATGGAAGTTCTTCAAGAAATTAAAAATAGAACTACCATATGATTCAGCAAACCCACTTCTGGGTACTTATCCAAAAGAACTGAAGAGACATTAGCACTCACATGATCACTGCAGCACTATTCATAACAGCAGGGATGTGGAAAGCCCCTAAATGTCCATCAGACAAATGGCTAACGAATACGCATATACATACAGTGCAATGTTATTCAGCCTTAAAAAAGAAGGAAATCCCGCAGTATGTGGCAACATAGATGAACTTTTAGAACATTATGCTAACTGAATAAGCTAGTCATAGAATGACATATACTGCATGGTTCCACTTAGATGAGGTATCTAAAATAGTCAAACTCATAGAAGCAGAGAATAGAATGGTGGTTGCCAGGGGCAGAGGGTAGGGGGAAATGGGGAATTGCTAACCAATGGGTATAAGGTTTCAGTTATGCAAGATGAATAAGTTCTAGACATCTGCTGTACAATCTGCCAGGGAATAAAGTAGCTTTTCCTTGAATGCTAACCATCATGTAAGTTCACTAGTTTCCTCAAAAGTAAATGGTGTGCTCTGCTTCCGTTTCTGGTTTTGCTCCAGTGTTTGGGTTTTCTCCGTGGCCGCCTAAGACGAACCAATTCTTCTGGAAAGCAAAACCCAAGGCTCCGCCGCCCAGCTTGACTGACTGCATTGGCACGGTGGACAGCAGGGCAGAATCCACTGACAAGATTTGTCGGCTGGAGGCTGAGTTGGGACAGACCCCTCAGTGTCCCCCGCATCTGTTTTGCAGAAAAGCTTTAGCCTTTTGGGCCTTCCAAGTTTACCCAAGTGGTATTCTCACTCAGAATCTAATGTCACTCCTCCAAGCCTCAGCCACCGATTTTTTTTTAAACTTTTGATGCACATCTGTTCACCTTTCTGTTGGAGAAACACGGAAGTGAAGCAAAGCGAATTCCATTTTGCGCGAATGAGCGCGGTTTCCCACGACCTCACCGGAGAGCGCGCAGAGATCATTTTTCAATTGAGGGATATGGGTAAATTCATCTGGAGTCAGGCTACACAGTCTAACAGGAGCACGTTAATGTCATGCTATGAGAGGCTGAACTATCCAGAAGAAGATTATAAGTAAGTCTAAGGTCCTTCTTGGCTTCAGGTTAGGAAACTGCAGGTTTTGGTGGTGGTGGGGGGTTGTTTTGTCTTTGGTGAGCTGGGAAGAGGACTCGCTACAGAGCCAAAAAGGAAGATTTTCGCTGGCGGCTGTGTGTCAGGCCAGGCGCTGCAGGGAGAGGGAGACGCTTGACTCGAGTCTGGGCGTTTCCCCTTTCACGTGACACGTCCCCCACCGCCTCGCCGGCTGCTTCCGGCCGGGGCATCACCCGGAAGTGGGGGGGGGAAGGTGGGGTAAAAGCGGCGGCCGGGCGGCTCCGGGAAGAAGCGGAGGGAGGAGTTGGCGACGCCGCGGCCGTCGCGGTTGCCGCCACCGTCGCCGCCATCGCCGCCGCGGCTACTGTGACTTCTCCTGGTGTGTGAGATCGGAGCCTACGCGCCTGGATTTGTCGCCGCCACCGGCTGCGTAGATCCGGAGGTTTAACCACAGGACAGAAAAAACAGGTAAGTCCTATGTCGGCTTCCCGTCGTCCCCTTCTACAGAAGGGGTGTTCTGTACTGTCAGCCTGTACTACCGAGTGTGGCGAGAAGGTGATTTTAATCTGGGGGAGTTTCCAAACTCTTACTGCTTCACAACTCAGGTATGCATTACACTCTTGTTTTACCTCCCCTAACAGGGGATAGAGGAGGGAAGATTGGGTCCTGACCCCTGTCGCTTTCTTGTCCCCTCCTGAGGAAGTGTCCTGATCATCCATAGCCCATGTTACCTAATTAATTGAAGGTACAAGGAGGTCTGTGCCCGATTTTGGAGGTCACATGGACTGATCACCATTATTAATGAAATAATGTAAAGAAATTAGATATTTTGCTTCTTGTCTCGCTCTGGGAGCATGAAGTAAACTGAGAGAGCACTCTTGTTTCCATTTCATTTTGTTTATTCTGACCCTTCCCAGTAAAGTTACTCTCCATCCTTGTTGCACCCTGTGGCATCTTTTTCTTTGACACTTTTTCTTGTAGACGTTGAAGTTATTTATCCTAAGCACTGGCAACTCTTTCATCGTTTCGCAGGTTAATATTATTCAGCATCTGGTTTTTGTTTTAATTACACCCTCTTCATCTACAGTGGTATGACTTTGTATTGAGACTTAAGATGTGCAGAACAATGAATTAGGTGATATTGAGGTGTGGGGGGCGGTAGGGGGGTATACACAAGAAATAAGATGAAGTCCCTAGCCTCAAGAGAGTTTGCATTCAAGTTGAGTTCAGTTATGAAGACAATGGATTCTAGCAGCCCCACTTACTGAATAACTACATTGCTTATCTCATCCTTTTTAAAGGATATTTTGAACTGAAATTTTATTTTTTAATCTTTCAAACTTTCTTGTTTCTACAGTCATGACATGAGAGGGTTTTTTTCCTATTTGTACTGAAGGGTCTCACAATGTAGTAGGAAAGACAGATACACCCTTTTAATCTCAGTAATGTATATTAGAAACAGAAAGTGTTATGAGAGTGTAGGGAAGGGAGCTTTTGAGCTGGGCCTTGAAAAATGGATAGGATTTAGCTTTGCAGGAATGGAGGTAGGGGACGACAGCCCAGGTACATGAAATAATGTGAGCAAAGGCTTGGGGGGCAGGAAAGATGCCTCCAGCAATACATTGTACATCAACATCTTTAACACAGCCACATCTTCCAAAATGTCACTGTTTAAAAGAAAAAAATATAGAATTCAAAACTGGTAAGCTTACAACCATATCCGACTACCCTCCAGCCAATAAAAAAGCTTATATATAGGAAGAAAACCCATGAAGTGACAAAAGCAGTGTTAATGTGTGAGATTTAATTCTGATGTAAACTCAAATGTAAAAGAGAAAAAGTAAAGCTTGCTATATTTTAATTCTGACTGAGTGTCGTGTCTTAAATATAATTTGGAATCTTTTTTTAAAAATTGCTGGGAATGAATAACAACACTGTGTGAAGTCAGAAGGCGTTCCAGTTTTTCCCCAAGGAATTTCTGTATTTCCTTGTCTCCTACAAAATGACTTTTCTACTGGCCTTCTTAACCTGATAGAAACTATTTTTTTACAGTCATAGTCTTAGATCTTGATTCTTGACCTTTAGGTAGCGTTAGATTAAACACTAATTCCTCCAAAGGATAGGTCAACACCCCTGGTCTCTAATGCAGAAGGTTGTTTTTCTTTGAAAAATGCATGCAGAAGTGGTAAAATTTGTTTGAAAGTGAGAGTGAGAGAGCAAGCAAAAATAACCCTAACATACCACAACCTTTACTTCTGGGAGGGATCTAAGGCAACACATTCCTTTTTATAAATTCCTCATTATAACTGCTTTTTATCTACATGTTTAAAAATGCTTGGCAAACTTTCATCAAGACTTTTGACATCCCAATGAGTGAAAATAATTTTCTTTGGCCAGTTGGGAAAGTAAATTGTGAGGAGAGGTTTGTCTGACATGATACAGGCACTGGCATAAATGAGAATAATATTTGGGAGTTTTGTCTTAAAATTCCTTCTACTTATCTTTGTTAAAGGGAAGTTCAGCTTTTAAAGGTTTTACAGTTTTGTTTTTAAACAGAACTCTTTCTTAGGACATAAATCACAGTGAGGGTGGGGGGTGGGAGAGGCAGGCAACAGTTGGCCTATTTCAGTTCAGTCTATTGTCCCAGCAACCATGTGTTTCATTTATAAATCACAGTGTTCAGGTTGATTTCACGTGATATAACTTGCTTACTTACTTGCTGAGGTAGTATGGCAGAAATAGTGTCACAATACTTTTAGAATGTGTTCCATTAAAGTGAAAGGGTAGGATGTTTCTGGTTTCATAAATATGTTTCTAGTTTCTCCAGCACTATTAGAAAATGGATTTCCTGGGACTTCCCTGATGGTGCAGTGGTTAAGAATCTGCCTGCCAATGCAGGGGACACAGGTTCGAGCCCTGGTCCAGGAAGATCCCACATGCCAAGGAGCAACTAAGCCTGTGAGCCACAACTACAGAGCCTGTGCTCTACAGCCCGTGAGCCACAACTACTGAGCCTGTGTGCCACAACTACTGAAGCCCGTGCACCTAAAGCCTGTGTTCTGCAACAAGAGAAGCCACTGCAATGAGAAGCCGGTGCACCACAATGAAGAGTAGCCCCTGCTCGCTGCAACTAGAGAAAGCAGGCGTGCAGCAACGAAGACCGAACGCAGCCAAAAATAAATTAAAAAAGAAAATTGATTTCCTCATCTTTGTGGGCTCATATTTGTGTGGGATATTGGTAGATTGCATCAGTTTTCACAGATATTTCTGTCCTTGAAGGAAATGAGGATAAAATGAGCCAATTAGCTGTGCTTTGGCCTGTGTTTTCCATTTATATTTATAATTATACAGGTATGGCTGAAGGATTAAATTTTTTTTACCTGTTTTTACTTTATAATTCTCTAGTGTAGAAGTCCACTTTTCCAGACCTATAATCAGGAGAACGTTTAACAATTTACTAATTGGAATAAATGGGTTATTCCACATCTTAGGGAAATTGTTTTAGGCTGACCATTTACCTTAGTTGATTTTGTTTGTAAAAAAGTTCAAGTGTTTTGTTTTATGCTCTAGTAATTGCTCCTGATCTGCTTGTGCATTTGATGTCACAACCAAAGCAGATAGGGAGCAAATAATACTGGAATTACTTCCTTCCCCTACTCCCACCTGAGTTTGCAGAACACTGTATATTTCTTATAATTTTGGAGAAATGGTTTCTGATCTCTTGAACGTTCACCTGAAGCATGCTGCCCACCACTCAGGAGAGGAGGGCATTAAAAGGGCTTCTGTTAAGACCTGAAACAGCGTCAACAGAGGTTGAAGAACAGAGAGGAAGAATTCCACAGCAGAGAGCCTGCTAAACAAAATTCTCAGGACTACTTAGGATAAATTTGTAGCTGATCTCTGGGGTCATGAGGATACTTAAGAGTTGATCCTTGGACTTCCCTGGTGGCACAGTGGTTAAGAATCCGCCTGCCAATGCAGGGGACATGGGTTCGATCCCTGGTCGGGGAAGATCCCACATGCCGCAGAGCAACTGAGCTGGTGTGCCACAACTACTGAGCCTGTGCTCTAGAGCCCGTGAACCACAACTACGGAGACCCCACACCACAACTACTGAAGCCCATGTGCCCTAGAGCCCACGTGCCGCAACTACTGAGCCCACGGGCTGCAACTACTGAAGTGCGCGCACTTAGAGCCCGTGTTACGCAACAAGAGAATCCACTGCAGTGAGAAGCCCCTGCACTGCAACGAAGAGTAGCCCCCGCTTGCCACAACTAGAGAAAGCCTGCACGCAGCAACGAAGACCCAGCACAACCAAAAAATAAATTAAAAAAAAAAAGAGTTGATCCTTGAGCTAACAAAAGCTTAGAGAGCTTAGTTGTTACAGAGTTCCACGCGTAATTTCTTTTTTTTTTGTTTCCATGCGTAGTTTCCTTTGTTGATCCTTGCACTGAAAATGGTAGTGGAAAAAGGTGTCTAATTTTTTCGTGATGATAAAGTTTTTTGCGCTAAGAATTCTAATTGAATTATTAAATTAATCATTAATCTAATAGTATTAAATTAAAATAGAAAGTAATATTGTATTGATTATTGGTAAATATATTAATAATATCAAAACATTAATATTAAATTATTATTAATTTCAATTAATTGAATTTTATATTAATTATAATTATGCTTAATATAATTATAACTATATATAAATATAATATATATAATAAATATAATATATAAATATATATTTAATATATAATTATAATTTTATTATAATTAATAAAATTAGCTAATTTCATTTTGGCCAATAAATGCTTTCTCTTATTTTACTATACCATTTCACTGTTAGTTCTAAATATCACTTTTTAGTTCAAATTTATAGCCACAGTATCTTGGTATTAAGTACTAATCACAAATGTAAGTACTTTTTTATGTATTAACAATCAGATTGGTGTCATATGTCATTAAGTATTGTGCATCAAAAGCGAAGTATTTTGTCTTACTTATCTGTTTCTAGCTAGGTGATAACAGGATTAATTTTAGTCATAAAAACCTTCCTAGCCTTCAGAGAGTTTTAAAGCCTTAAATTCATCATATAATGATGGATAAAGGAATAAATTAATATGTGACCTTGAGTGTCAGGGTATGATTCAGATTGCCTAATGAGGATGTGGAGAAAAGGGAACCCTCATACACTGTTGGTGGGAATGTAAATTTGTGCAGCCACTGTGGAGAACAGTATGGAGGTTTCTCAAAAATCTAAAAATAGAACTACCATATGACCCAGAAGTTCTACTCCTGGGTATATACCTGAAAAAAACCAAAAGATACATGTACTGCAATGTTCATAACAGCGTTATTTACAATTGCTGAGATATTGAAGCAACCTAAGTGTCCATCAACAGATGACTGTTTAAAGCAGCTGTCTGTATGTATCTATATTTCTATAGATACATACAGACAGCTGCTTTATC